GGGCGGGGGGAGGGAGGCATTCTCCCGGGTGGAGCTGTCATTCTGAGAGCTGGTCAGAGCAGCTTTTCAAGTGTGGCTGGAAAGGCCTCTGGGCCCCTGGAACCTGCCCTCCATATGGGAGACAGGCTGTCCTCAAGCTTGGAGTTGGCCCTGGAAATCCATTAATGCCAGCCCCAGAATGGTAAGAAAATGCCCTGAGCCCACAGTAATGGGCTGGATACCACAGACTCAGTGTTCTAATCATGGCTCAGTTCCTGACATGTTGTGTGACCCCAAACAAATCAATTACCTTCTCTGTGCTTTCATTTTCCCAATTGTAAATCAGGGCACGGCCAGCCTGACCTGTGTCCAAGCTGGGAAGTGGGTATCAAAAAACTTTAAAAAGGCAAAAACAAAATCACACAGCTGATATGCACTGCTGGAAATACTGCAGGGACCAATAACTACAGAGACACACCAAAACCCTGCCTGGGGCAACATGGGTGGGCTGGCTTCATTTTGGTCCACGGGTATAGTGAGAGCTTTGTGAGAAAGACCGGAAACAGTGTGGGATAAACAAAGGGCTTACCTGCAAGTCTTTGCTGAGTTTTATCAAAACAACCACAATTCCATCATGATTGGAAAAGTTCACTGGAAAGTTTTATATAAAAAGGAAGTTTTTCAAATTGAAAAATGGATTTTCTTTATTGCTTCATTTAAAAGAGAATAAATAAAACGTTTTCACCCCCCAAGGGAAAAATCTGTCTTCCAGATGATGTGGGGGTTACCGTTAACATTTTAAAGCCATTTTGCAGGCCACAAAGTCTTAGGGCCAGTGTATCTGAGAGGTTGAGGCATTTGCTTCTGTGTCTAGGCCCCACAGCACCCCAGGCACACATCTGCCAGATCTGGTCCCTGCTGGGACTCTGTGGTCTCACTCCCTGCCCCTATGCTGGATTTTCAGCACTCTGAAGACAGAGGCTATGTTATTCATCTCTGCTGTAGGCTCTAGTACATTTTCTAGCTCATAATATATGGGTTTTATAAGTGTTTGTGGTTCCCCTGGCATACATGTGTATACTCTGAGCCAGACAGCTGCTAAGAACACCAGATTCAGGTGGAGTGAGCACTAGCCTGGAAGTCTAACTCTGTCCCCAACTACCACTGAGACCTCAGCAATTTGTTTTTGTCTATGGGGACAAGTTTCCCAACATTTAGTCATTTTAAGTCAACAAATAGTGACTCCCTAGGCTGTGCCAGGAGATACTGGTCTGGGGGAGAGTACCAGATTCAGTCAGCCCACAGACAGGGAGACAGACATGGAAACCACCTCATGAAATGGAGTGGATGCACACCCACTAGACTGGCAAAAATCAATAGCCATCACAATAAGTGTTGACAAGGTTGTACAGAAACTCGAAGCTTTTACATTACCAGTGGAACGTCAGGTGGTGTAACTACTTTGGAAAACAGCCTAGAAGTTTTTAAAAGTGTCAAATACAGAGCTGACCCAGCAATTTACTCCTAGGTAGATGCCCAGGAGAAATGAAAACATCCGTCCATCCAAAAACAGGTACACGAATGTTCAAAGCGGCATAATTCGTAATAACCAGAAAGTAGAAACAACTCAAATGTGCATCAACTGATGAACAGATGGACAAATGTGCTATTAGCCATACAATGAAATAGTATTTGGCAGTAAAAAGGAATGAAGTACTTACACATGACAAACAGGGATGGGCCTTGAAAACATTATGCCAAGTGTAAGAGGTTAACCACAAAAGAATACGTATTGTATGATTCCATTTATATGAAATGCCCCAAATAGGCAAATCTATAGAAACAGAAAGTAGATTAGGGTGTGCTTAGGGCTAGTGGATCGTGGGGGGAGTAGGGGAGGCGAGATTGGAGGGAAACGAAGAAAGGTTGCTAGCGGTTACCTTTGGAGTGATAAGAATGTTCTAAAATCAGATTGTGGTGATGGTGGCACAGTCCTGTGACCACACTCAAAAACACTGAAGTGTGTACTTTAAATGGGTGAATTGTATGGAATATGAGTTATATTTCTAAAAAGCTGTTAATAAAAAATAATGGATGGATGCACCAAATGGAGGGGGCGTCCAGAGGAAGAAGAACCGACTGTACTTGTTGGGGTGATACTTGTGGGAATGATTAGAGGAGTCTTTCCAGAAGGACTGACTCTGGAGGTGAGTCTTTTTCTTTTTTTAAGATTTTATTTTCTATTTCTTTGAGAGAGAGAGAGTGAGAGAGAAAGAGCATGAGCAGGGGGAGGGGCAGAGGGGGAGGGAGAAGCTCACTCCCCGCTGATCAGGAGCCTGATGCGGGGTGCGATCCCAGGACCCTGGGATCATGACCTGACCTGAGGCAGATGCTTAACCACTGAGCCACCCAGGCGCCCTGGATGTGAGTCTTGGAGGAGCAGACATGACCGGAGAAGGAAAGGGCCTTCTGGGCCAGGGGTACTGCCTGAGCAAAGCCACAGAGAAGCGGTCTGATCCAGCTGGCTGGGGTACATGGAAGCTGGGGCGGATGGCAGGGCCAGGTGGGCGGTCGAAGAGACGGCCTGAAGAGGGCGGGGAGTGTGGGCACAGAGGGCTTCTAATGTCATGTTCCTGAGCGAGGCTTTACCCTGCACACCTTCTCTGTGCCATGAGGATGCTGACAGCAAAACTTACAAGACCTTGTTTGGTTCTTAACTTAGCTCTTTCTCTTGAAGACCGTGTAGCTTTTGGAAGTCACCACTGAGAGGACACGAGTGGCACTGGACGTGAGGAAGGGTGTCCAAGCTCACGTGCCTGGGGTGATGGGGGCAGAGGGCTGAAGGCATGGGCTGGGCTGGGGCGGGCGGTGCAACCCCATCTACTCCCCCATCTACTCACTGCACAGCTGGTCCTCATCTTCTCCCTGGGCACAGTCCTGGTGGAAGTCGCAGGCCTGCCCGAGCTGGAGGACGGTCCCGTTCCAGCAGGTGAAGGAACTCTGCAAGGCCATCTTGGAGCCCGGGGATGTTCCTGGAGAACACACAGAGACATATGCCCTTGGTCATTTGGGTGGCCCTGTGGGAAGGCTCAGCAACAGCATCGCTCTGCCCTGTCGCATCCCACTGGGATGCCCACATCTCAATCTGGTTACACGCAGGGCCAACACCAGGAGGCTGAGAGGATGTCAGCCTTAACACCCCATCCCCTAGCCCCCTGGGGGAATCCTCACTTTCTAGTGATGGTGACTAGCAGAGTGGCCCCAGGTTTTGGTCCATGTTCCCTCAACACTCTGGGGTCCTCAACCCCTGGCTTCAATGTGCCAGGTAGAGAGCCTGTGGGTAGAGACAGCTCGACCTGCAAGGTCAGATTTGAAGCCTATCTGGTCCAATGTATCTCCCACATGTTCTTGACCCCAGCTTCACCATTGGAATGATGCTAGAAACATGCAACACTTTCTAGTGTTGGACCAGCTGTGTGAAGCTGACCCTATCCCTTTTCTCTCTGGCCCCCTGTCTCCCCATCTATGAAAGGAGGGATTCTGATGATATTTCTAAGGTCCATTCTGGAATTTTTATATAAATCATAAATCTCACATATTATCCAGTGGCAGAAGGGAGAAGGAGCAGTTTATAATGAACACATTAGCAGTTATTTCTGTATCAAGAAAAATGGGTTATGGTAATGAATTAACCTGTGATCCCGGAGAGCCAGGCTTAAGTTGGCCTGCACCAGCCTGCCCTTCTAAATGGGGGCCTTTGCCTGGGGCTCACCTAGCAAGGGCCTGGTTTGTGTTTCTGAGTGTGACTCCTGCCCTCTAGCTCTTGGTTTGTATTGGATGGGGGAAACTTTGGCTCCTGTGGAGATGAGCAGGTGGGCCCACCTGGGTCAACCCCCCAAGTCTGGTGGCTTTGCATTCTGTCCTCTTTTCTAGCTCCCTCCCCATGATGGCTGGTGCTTCCGCAGTCTCCCCATCCCCATCCCACCCTCTCAGTGCTCAGCTGGGTGGGTGAGAGGGTGAACCAAGACCCCCACTTGGCCGAGTCCCACAGCCTCTCTGAGCTTCACATAAGGGGTGTACTTCTCCAACCCTGGCTGTGAGAGTAGACTTCCCTTTATTAGATTTTATTTCAGTAAAGCCTCCCAGCTGATTGTGATGTGGGCTCTGCAGGTTAGATCATCTTTACTATCTGAAATGCCATGATTTTCTGGTTCATTTCAGTTCCCACTGAAACTAACATCAAGTCCAGGTTGTTTGCTTCTAGAATCCTCTGCATACCTCAGCACATCTGTCAAGAGGCTAAGCAAGTCTTATCAGTGCCCATTTCCTGAGTGGGGAAACTGAGTGAGTGAGGTGGAGTGACTTCTCTAAGGCTGGTAAGTGGGTTGCAGGCCCAGCCTGTCAGACTGCAAAGCTGCTCTCTCCATGTCACAGAAGGGGAGTGCTGGAAGTGGCCTTGGGGCCTCTTTTGCAGACTAGTCTAGATAAGGCTCAATTTGTTAGTGGCTAGCACAGGCCACCACCGTTGTCAGATGGGCCCCCGGCCTGGCTGGGGGTTCTCTGTAACTGCCGGGCATGGGAAACACAGGCCCTGCTTCCTTCAGGGGATCACATCCAAACTCTTCAACCTGCTCTTCAAGGTCCTCTGTGCTCTGCACCCCAATTTCCTTTCCTGTCTCACCTTGCTCTGTCTCTCTGACAGACCTTTGCTCGAGCCTCATTGGGTGTTGGTTCCATGGTTCCATGCCCCCTAGCTCTAGAACATGTGTGCATGGCCCCATCTTCTTCCCCACATCATTGGAGTGTCTCTGTGTTGTCCCTCCAGCCCTCACCAGTGCCTGGCCCCAGGAGTGTTCGTGAAAAGCCTGCATATTAGGTTACCTGCCTGTAGTAACCCCCAGAATAATGGCTCCCCAGATAGCCACATCCGAATCCCCAAAACCTGTGAATATTACTTTATGTGGCAAAAGGGACTTGGTGATGTGACTAAGTTAAGGGTCTGTAGATGGGGAAAATACCTGGATTACCCAGGTGTGATCACAAGGGTTCTTAGAAGAAGGTGGCAAGAAAGTCACAGAAAGAAGCAGGAGATGTGATCATGGAAGCAAGTCTGGAGAAATGTGAGGCAGGCGTCACGAGCCAGGGAATGCCGGCAGCTTCTAGAAGCCAGAAAAGGTGAGAAAACCGTTTCTCCCTTGGAGCCTCCAGAAGGAGCCGGCCCTGCCTCTAACTTGACTTGAGCCCAGTGAAACTGATTCCGGGCTTCCGCCCTTCAGAACCAGAAGAGAGTAAATGGGTGTTGTTTTAAGCCACCAGGTTTGTGGTGGTCTGTTATGGTGGCCCCAGGGGGCGAATACACCAGCTAACCCTGACACCAGATGCAGTCATGGGCTCAGTCAGCTGAGGCCCCGCATGGCTTTAGATCAACTACTCTGTTCCTTAGCTTGTTTTGTGTTTCCTGCTTCCCTGGACTAGACATCTCTGCCTTTCCTCCTCACACAGAAGGAGAAACACTACCCTCTCCATCTCTGTTCCTTGAGCACAGAGACAATATTCCCTCCAAATCCTTTCCTGATCCAAGTGCAGGGGACTGCACAATGGAAAGCCAGCCCGCCCCTCTCAGTTCCAAATATTCAGCTCTCAGGATCAAAATACAGAAGGAACGACAGGAGACACGATGCTCATTTTCAAAGGTAAAATGCCAAATTCATTTTATCACTTTAACTCTGCACAGGAATTTCCCACTTGTCCGTCATGGCGTCTCGGAAGCTGGGCAACACGGTGCTTCTAAGGAACAGGTGCTGGTCCCCAGAAAGTGCAGTCTCCCCCCTGGCAGAGCTGGAGGAGGGGTGTCCTCCCTGAAGCCCTGATGGAGGCCAACTGGCTGGGCGCGGCTGTGGTCTTTGTCCCTGGAAGCAGGGGCCCAGCAAGGACACCAGGTATCCAATATGGCGCACCAGCTCCCTGCCAAGTACAGCGCCAGGCATTTCACCTGCTTGTGCGCTAAACCTTATAGCCACCAGAACAGGGCAGCTCTGTGTTTCCCCCTTAAGAGGGGGGAGTCCCAACTAAGGGAGGGTGAGGGGCAGTGGCAGGCAAGTGGCCTCCAGATGGGCTCCGCTCCTGAGGGCAGACTGGTGTGTCCACCGTAGCTGGCGGGCCCTGCCTGCTGGCGACGCTGCCTGTCCTCTCTGCCCCTCCTTCAGCGCAAGGACATTTAGGATAATAAAAATTCTCCTTCATCTTGTTTGGTGATTTCCCAGTTTCCCAAACATTTTCTTCTTATGCCCTCTATGGGACCATTGCATAATGAGGACCTTATTCCCCTCACTCCCAGCACTACCAAAGACATTAGGGAAATAAAAAAATCTGCGAAGTCTTCCTCCACCTGTGGGACAAATGAAAATCGTTTCATGTTTGATTCACACCTTGTGATTAGGCCTTAAGTTTCACCGTGAGCGTGTGCGTGCTTCACGCACCAGTTACTTGTCATTCCCTGGATATGTCTCCTAGTTTCTTTTACCTTCCTTCATTTGAAAAATATAGGCCTATTGTTGAAAGCTTGAAACCAGGGTAAAAAGAAACAAAAACAATGCCCAGAATTCCACTGCCCAGAGGCCAGCATTTTTAACATCTTGGTAGGTTTCTCGTTAATGTTTTTGGCCGATGCTTTCCAAGTGTGTATAGCTGTGTCATATGTATATAGGCCTTAAAATAATTAGGGTTGTATCACAGGCTTTTCCCAGGCTTTAAAAATTCCCCATAAGAAAAAAAAATTCCCCGTAAGGACACTTTTTAATGGCTACGATCCTTCGTAATATGTATCATCATTTATTTAAACATTATTCAGTGACTGGATTGTTAGGCTGTTTATAATAACACTTTGAAGAATATCTTTGAGCATAAACCTTTGCCCACATTTCAGATTATTTTCAAAGGATAGATTCCCAGAAGTGGAATTACTGAATCAAAGAGTATAAACATTTTAAAGGCCCTTGATACATATTGCCAAATTGCTTTCTAGAAGTTAATCCAATTTACACTCTCACCAGCTGCGTTCATACACGCACGCCCCTCTTGCTACATCCTGGCCATCCTGGCCAACCCTGAATATTATCACGGTTTTTGTTTTTAACTCAAAGTATTTCCCTGCTGTTTTATTTGTATTTCTTTGATAGTTAGTGAGGCTGGATATTTTCCCGCATGTTACTAGCTTTATTGTACTCTTTTAGGGACTTGTCCAATTCCTTTTGCCAATTTATCTGTTGGGTTCTTCATGTTTTCCTGTTGAAGTGTATGAGATTATTGATAAGGATGTGAAATATTTGGTTATATGTTTGACAATTTCCCCCAGTGTGTATTTTCATTCTGTCTATAATGCATCTTGATACGCAGGAGTTCTAAACTTGTATGTCATCCAAAACTATCCATAGCTTCCTTGGTGATCGCTTGTCTTTTATGCTTCCAGAGTTTCTTCCATGTGGGGTTGGTAGGCAGTGCGTGGGTCAACCTTGGTAGTCATAGGGTTGTCCCACCATTGCTAAGGCTGCCTTGGCATTTGGGAACATCTTCCGCCAACTCCCCATTTTGCAGCAATGGGGATCTAGATCTCCCCAGCTCATCTGTGACATCTTCATGGAGTGCCCCATTCTCTCCCTTCCATGAACTGTCCTTTCACTTGGGCTTCTTGCTTGAATGTGGCAGATATTCTGCTTGATGTTGTAACTAGCTGTTTGTATGCCTGTCTTCCTCAGCAAACTATAAGTGACTTGAAGGGAGGTATCAAGTCTTATCTGCATGAGTCTCCAACAGCGCCTTCCACAGAGATCTCCCCACTCCGGTATTGGGGATTTGAACTGAAACGATGTATTATGGGTGGGAGGTATCTTGCGTTCATTTTATAGTGGAGAATACAAAGGTTCGGAGTGCTTACATGGCTTGCCCAGGGCTTTGACACCTTGTTCTCTGTCTTTTGTACTGTGTCTGTCTGTGGGATCCCCCTGGGTGATGGGGGTCCTCAGGAGCGGTGACA